CCCCCCCACAGCTCCTATCCTAACCCTAACCCGTACCTCTACCCCCCCACAGCTCCTTCTGTAGTCCCTCTACCTCTATCTCTATCTCACCACTGACTCTGATCAGTGTTTCTCCTCTATATAGCTTATTGTCATAGTGATGATACATTTTTAGTTGTTTCTGTATGTTTTTTGTATTGTTTTATGGCTTTGTTGTAAAGCACTTTGAATACCATTTGGGTATTGTAAAGGGCTATACAAATAAACTTGATAGATTGATTGATAAATGTAATATTGTGTCTACTCTGTAAGTCGCTTTGGATAAAAGCGTCTGCCAAATGCAGAAACATAAACATAAACATAAACATACAAGTAGGTCAGGGAACGAATTAAATTCGTATGTAGAGGTTCTACTAGTAGCTGGTTTTCCTGAATCAGACGTAAAACGATGTGAGCGTGCATGAGGGGAGAAGATTATGACTATTATGACTACTATGAATATTTTAACATACGAAGTAGGTCAGGGAACGAATTAGATTCGTATGTAGAGGTTTTCCTGTCCCTGGACGGTCCCTAAACCAGTTGTTTGCGCGCGCAGTGGGCGGTCCTGGGTCCAGCGGCTGGGCGGGGCCAGGGGCAGCGCCCTCAGGAATGGGCCCCGAAACTATTTAGTTGGACGGTCGCGCAGAGGAAGGAGAGCTGGAGAGCGCACCTGATGCTGTCTGAGGGAAGACCCGCTCCATGTCGCTGTCCTAACTCCTAACTGTCGCGAGATCTATCCATCATCTACCTCCGGAATCCGCCACCAACGTCTTCCTCTCCTCCTCTTCCTCACCTCAAAAAACCCATCACCGATAAGGAGACTTTGCACTATCCGGTTCCTCTTGTTATATTTTTTCTTTTTCTCTATTTATTTATTGTACCTTTGCACTAACGATGCACACCACGCAAAAGGACACGACCTACACCAAGATCTTTGTCGGGGGTCTTCCTTACCACACCACGGACTCCAGTCTCAGGAAATATTTTGAAGTTTTTGGAGAGATTGAAGAGGCGGTGGTCATCACCGACCGGCAGACCGGCAAGTCCAGAGGATATGGATTTGTAAGTTTTTAGCAGAATTGGCTGGGGGAAAAAAAGCGTCTGAGCGCACGAGAGACCGCATTCCTGCGTGTGCGCGCGCGGCTGCTGGCTTTCACAACACGGTGATAGCGTCACGCGGGGGGGGGGGGGGGGGGGGGGGGGGGGGGAGGGGTCTGCTCCGGTAAACAGGCCACTTATTGGCACCGGCCCCGGTGGCGACCTGTTGCGCGCGCGCGCGGTGACAGCTGCGCGCCCACGGGGACCTCACGCGCACGTGTCGTAATCTTCTCCCCCTCATGCTTGCTCACATCGTTTTACGTTTGTCCGGTTACTCCTCTGATTCACCGCTAATTGGCAGGAAAACCAGTTACAAGTAGAACCTCTACATACGAATAGAACTCCTACTTCGTACAGTGGGGGAAATAAGTATTTGACCCCTTGCTGATTTTGCAGGTTTGCCCACTTACAAAGAATGCAACGATCTATAACTTTAATCATATGTACATTCTAACAGTGAAAGACAGAATCCCAAAGAAAATTCCAGAAAATCACATCATATGA